AAAAAGTTATCAAGATTATTCTGGATACTTGCCACATACAAACAGCCATTAGACATAAGCCTGTTCACTTGCATGCATGGAAGAGATCGGTGCCAGGAGAATAAAAAGACAAAACCCTAGAGCATGTTTGCAAAGAAGACTGCACGCAAACAGAGCCAGCAGCTTCTCTGACTTGGTAGCTCCAGTGCTGAAGTAAGGAAAAAGAGCACATGTTAAAACACTCCAGACATCCCAACCAACAAATATCTGATCTCCTAAAAATAGAACAGCCGATTCCTCTACAGCCCAAAGTATTTTTTTTTTTTTTTTAATTAAAAGACTACGGAGTTCCCACAATTAAGTTTTCCCTCTAACAACTGCATGATTTTTTCCATCGTACTTCTTCCCCCCTGTACACCCTGGCATCACCTTGTTACCTACGGTAGCTGCAATTCCCAGTACACCGCGAGCTGCAGGCAGCAGACGGCACAGTAGTTTGTGCGAGCAGCAGGCTGAGAGCAGCATTTTTGTCAGTGCAAAAGCAAGCAGTTCTAGCAAACACAAGATCTTTTTCGTTTCTTATTGCAACGAGACATTTTACAAGGATTTGGCCAACAGAAAAACAATCAGACTCACGATTTAAAACACTGCTGTGCTTCAGCACGGCCAAGCACTTACGCATGTCCTCAATGGCATGAAGTCAGGGACTCCGAGCCCGGCCATACCTTTCTAGGCATTTCAGTAAAGTTTGGTTGCCAGGACCTCTAAGAACAGTCGCAAAGACGCTGCTGATCTCTAGTGCACAACGTTTATAAATTCCGCTTAGCAAATGCTTTCTGGCTCCCATTCCATATCATATCTCTGCTGAACCGCTCGCCGGGTGTGAAAACATGCTACTAGACGTAGGGAGGGGGGGGGGGGGGGGGGGAAGAAAAAGCAAAAGTTTCAGTGGTACGAGTTGGTGACACAGACCAAAAGCCAAACCCAAAGGCAGCGCCGCCAGCAGAAGCCCCGGCTGATGCCAGCGTGCTCTGGATCCGGCCCTGCGCTGCCAGGGCGGCCGACTGCACCCTGAACTCGCCTTCGGGGACGCGGGGACCCTGCCATCCCCACGAGCCGGCGGGCTGTATTTTCAGAGCAGGATGCCACCCGTGCCCCCCAGCACCCCCTGGTCTTTGCCTCCAGCTGCCAGCCCCTTCCCACCCCGCCTGCCCAGCGGAGACGCGCCGGGAAAAGCTCCGGGAAGCAACTTGATAGCTAAGCCCCGCTTAAGGGATAATTACGACGCGCTGTTTAATCCAAACGTGAGCTCAGATACGAACAGCAAACCAAACGCTCGCGCACCCGAGCTGCCTGACTACTGCAGGGCCCGATCCTGCTCCCACCGAGGTGGGGGCCCCCCGGGGCACAGCTCCCCCCGGGGCGCCGTGGCCACGCACGCAGGCGATGCTGGGCTGGACGCGCTCCGAAAGGCGGGCGAGGCCCGAACAAACGCTGCGCCTCCGCGGAGAAAGCCAGCTACCTGCGAAAACCTCACCAGGTCTTCTTCAGCCCTGCCTCAGCTGCACGAAAATATTTCAGCTCAGTGCCTTGAAGTTGCAATTAAATTGTAGTAATTTAAGATTATCACAAGAGCAAAGGGCAGTAGCAGCTCTTCAGCAGACTCCTCTCACCACTTAATGCTACTCAGTCTTGGGGTTAAATGAGCTTCTTTAGTATAAGTACCTTAAAGCAAGTGAATCGTAAACAAAATTTATACTATTTTCTGACAGCATATAATCTATTTAAATTTATTAAAGCTTCTCGGAGAAAATTTAAGATGACAGAAGTATCATTATGCCCTATAAATAACCGGACAGCCTTGCAGAAATAACTGTATTTTACATACATATCCTACATATGTGTGTGCATGTTATTTCATTCAATACACAAATACATGCTCAACAGACATTTCACAAAAGGAATTACATTATCCGGGTCAATCTCTCAATATAAATGACCACAAGCAGTACGAATACTAAATGCTAAGCTGCATTCCATAAATTCGCCTTTTTACTACCAGCCTTTTTCCTAATTTTTACAATGCCGTGAAACAGGAATAATTCTGGAGCTACAAATGTTTACAGTATATCATACCAAAGATGATCATGCAAATTTCAGCTCTTCAAAAAAGGTGATCCACTCCAAGAGAAAATCATATTGCAGCACATGCTGCGCAATAATGTCCAATGCATAATTCTCTGCTCAACTTTCCTGCTCCTTCTCTTACCAGTACAAAAACTAGCTGCGTTACGATTACCGGTGGAACTGATTTAAGCAGAAAATGTTTATAGATGTTAAAAAACATTACACATTACCCAAAATGGCTTAATAGCATACATGTGCATGTTTAACACACATACTTTTTATTGTCTAATTAAAGTATATACCATAAAAATCTAGAGGCTTTATAATAAGTTATGCAGGATGGTTATGAAACCTTACCTTATAAAAAGTATAAAGTACTTATTGTGTGATCTGCACTGCTAATTAAAGAAATACTTATGCAAAAAGGTTTTGGATTTCTTAATTCTTCTGTAGATGTGCACTTGGCCTGCCTCCTGATTAATATACATTAGGGTAACAGCCTTTTCCTCAGATTTTTTTTTTTTAATAGGTATTTCTATTGTTTTGGAATACTTTAAAGAAATGAAAGAGGGGGCATATCTGTAGAGTTTGCAGTGAAGTGTTTGAATACAAACATGAAACTGTCAAGTAACAAAAACAACCTAACTCCCACAGGTTAAGTTTGATTAACACTTAAATCCTAATTGTTTACTGAAGTAAAATCAAGTTTCATGTTAATACTCTTTAGTATTATTTCCGCTAAAAAAAAAAATTCACAGTAGCAGTGTCTCTCTAATATAGCCATGAAGACAAGTTATTACACACGGTTTTGCAAAAAGCCTGGCATATCAAAAATAAGCTGCCATCCTGACTGGTTGGTAATATGTTTACAGAAAAGGTATTAGAAGTTTTCTAAACTCTAGGAATGCAGTCATACAACATACAATGCTTAATCACAACCAAACTCCTCTATTATACATAAGCACAGCACTTACACAGAGAGAGAGAAAAAAAAAAATCCATGTTTCCTTACAATTCAGAGATCCAGAAATAAAAGCTGAATTCCACAGAACTTTTACGGCTTTCAACATTACACTACTGAAACGCCTTCTTCTCTGCAGCTCTAGACAGCATAAATAAAATCAAATCCTAAGTCTCTCTGAAAGTGTATACAATGCACTCCAAGTCACTATCAACTCAAATAAAAAAAAAAAAAAAAAAAAAAAAAGAGAGAGAAAAAAAAAATCCAGCCCATGCACAAAAAACTAACTTTGCAATCAAAATCGTAAGCAACAGAAAGCCTTGTCTGAAATAGTAGTTATTTTTCTCAAAGTTATCCTTTGGTTTCACAACAAAGATCAGCATTTGTAATGGTCCATTTCTGCATAAGTGAACATATAGCCTTGCTGCCTGATCGAATAGTCCAGAGCTTTCAGTGAGGCAGCTCCTGACAACAGCCCAGCAGCAGCTTTGTTTGATCTCTCCTGCCTTCCTTAATCTGGGTTGTCAAGGTTCACTTGTTGGAGGCTGTTTACTTTACTTTTTCCAGAAAAAAAAAAAAAAAAAAAAAAAAGTGATTTTTTTTTTTCTGTCTCTCATACAATGACTAATCCAAAGACTAAGGGGGAAGAATGCTGCCAATGCAAGATGTTAAAGCTACAATACCTTTTTACAATGAGATTTTAGCCGACACCTTTTGAATGGTAACTAGTGAAGAGCTTCCTCCCCCAGTGCCCTGGTCCATTCAATATGGTTGTGAGATAGTCCAAATAAAATGTGCAAGGAAAAAGATTCAGAGGAGAGAAATTGAAACCAGTAGCCCTGATTTCCCCTTCTTCCCCCAAATCCAGTCGCAAAGATGCACGGTACCTCCTTGCTTACACTCGCTTCTCTGAGAACTTGAATTATTGCAGGCTCTCTCAAACTTACAAAAAGTAGGAGCTTCTCAACAGCAACAGAAACTGTAAAAATAATACTAAATCGAGTGAAATGCCTATTTGCCCTCTGCCGAAACATTAAAGCAAACCATGGATTAACAGCACAAGCAGCAAGTTTCTTCGATGACATTCTTGAAACTTTGTCTAATTAAAGAACCTGTCATTAGTGACATTAACATTTGGTCAAAGCAGGTAAAACGTCAAGTTTAGAAAAACTATATGGAAAGGATACACAGTTTAAAGAATTGTTTTAATATTTGTAACCATCCAGCACCCTAGAAATCACCAGGCTACATTGTGTAGACGACACGCTACAAGCAGTATAGAGACATTACTCACTCAAAGAACAGTTACTAAAAATGAAACCTTAAACTTCTGAGCACAGAAGTTGGGCTCCAGCTTCTCTAGAGAAGCGGCTCTGGGAGCGCTGGCAGGCGGCAGAGACCCGGGGAGGGACGGGAGGGCTGAGAGCGGCTGCTGGCAGGCTTTGGGGGAGATCGGGGGGGGGAAAGGAGGGGGGGGAAAAAAAAAAAAAAAAAAAAAAAAAAAAAGTAATCACACTCGGCTTAGTTCACTCAAAGCAAAAAAACACGCAATTAAAATCATTACAGCGAAGTGGCAGGAGGAAGACTCGCTAAAATCGAGGCGCTCCGCAGCCAGCCGGGCGATGCTCTCCGCGCCGCGGCCGCCGGGTAATTAATAGTTGCGCGGAGGTGCGGAGGGGCCGCCGCTGCGCCCCGCGCAGCCCTGCCCGCACCCCGCCGCCGCGCTTTCTTTTTTTTTTTTTTTTTTTTTTAATCTCCTGGAATAAAAAAAAAAAAAAAACAGCACAAAAAAAAAAACCCCGCGGGGCGGGGGGAGGAGGAAGGCGCGGACACGCCGCTCGGACGCCGCCTGCAGCGCGCACCTTCCCCGGACTGCGCGGCGGTGCGCGGAGCGGCAGGTGCGGGGGGCGCAGCGCGGCGCGGCCCTACTTACCGGGCGCCGGCGGCCGCCCCCCGGCTCCGCGGCGCGCAGCGAACCGCGGCTCCGTCCCGAGGCTCCGCACTCGCGGGTCTGCGCGAGGGGGGGGGGGGGGGGGGACGACACAGACACACACACACACACGACACACACGTGAGGGATGCGCGGTCCGCACCCGCGCAGCGAGAAGTTACGCTGGGCTGGGGAGGCGCGGATGTTTATTCAACACCGTCTCCAAAAAAAAAAAAAAAAAAAAAAAAGGGGGGGGGGGGGATGGGCGCAGCAAGCCCCAGGGACCCGGGGTGGGGGAGGATGCGCGGCGCGGAGCTCCGCGTCTGCGGAAGGGAGTGCGCGGGCGGAAAGCCGCAACAGGTGCCGGGGGAAGGGGGCAGGCGGGGGGAGCGCGGAGTTTTGGGGGGGATGGGGGAGTGGGGGGGGGGGGGGGGGGGGGAGCGGCCCCGCTGGAACTTCTTGCCCCGAGTGCTGAAGTTGGGGTGTGCGCGCCCCTTGCGCGGGGGAAACACGAGGAACGTGCGGGGAGCGGGGGGTGGAAGGTGAAGGGGGGGGGAGCGGGAGGCACCGCATCCCACTTTCCGCGGAAGATGCGCGCGGGGCGGGGGGGGGAAGTTTCCAAAGTGGGCGGGTAGGGAGTGCGGGCAGCTCCGCAGCCGGTGGGGGGGAGGGGAGGGGGGGGGGGGGGGTCCGCACCCGCGCAGCGCTGCGTTGTTGCCCCCCTCCAACCCCCCGCGCCGGTGGCGAGTGGGGGGGGGGGACACATGGAAGGGGGGGGCGGGGAAGAGAGGTTGGGGGGTGGGGGGGCCGGACACGTGGGGCCGGCGAAGGTGGGGGGGGGGGGGGGGAAAAGTGCAACAGCCCCGGAGGAGCGGGGAAAGTGTCGGGGGGGCGCCGGACTCACCCGCAGGACTCGGCCTGCCGCTGCCCAGCACGGCGCGGCCCCGGCGCGGGCGCGGAGCGGCGCGGGGCTGCCTCTCCGTCCCGTCCCTCCCTCCCGTCCCTCCGGCACGCCGAGCCCGGGCGGCGCGGCGGCGTGCTCCGCCGCTCGGTAAATAACAATAGAGCCCTCCGCTCGGCGCCGCGCCCGCGGGGGCCTCCGCACGCCGCGCCCCCCGCCCCGCGCCGCCGCCCCGCGGCCCCCCCTCCCCGCCCCGCGCAGCTCCGCGCCGCCGTCCGCGCGGGCGGGCCGGGGGCGGCCCGCGACACCCCCGCGGAGGGAGATGTTGTTATTTTTTGCTGTTGTCAGTCTCTGACGTCACATCCACCTGCTGGGTAAACAAGGCTCGGTGCAAGGGAAAAATAATAATAAAAAAAATAAAATAATAAAAGCGGGGCGGGGGGGAGGGGGGGGAGCGCGGAGCTGGGGGGGGGGGGGGGGTGAGGGGTGGGAGCTCCGCCGGTGCGGAGCTCCGCGGAGGACGGCCGGAGGGGGAGGGGGGGGGGGAGGGCGGGCCGGGGGAGGCGGGGCAGCCCCGCGGGGAAGCGAAAGTGACCGCGGAGCGCGCTGCGCACATTAAGCGCGGGGGGCAGGCGCGCCGGGGCCGCCCCGTCGGCGGAGGGCAGCGCCGCGCCCCCCTCGCCCCCCCACCCCCCCCCGCAACTTTTCCGCAGGCGGCCCCGCGTAGTTGGTGGGAGTGTGCTGAGAGTGACCTCCAAGGGCCTTCCGCGGATGCCCGCAGATCCCGCCTTACCTGCGCGGAGCGGCGAGGTGGGCGCTGCCTGCGCTCCCCCCCCCCCCCCCCCCCCGCAGCGCACGCCTCTGTCGGCACAAACACTGCTTAGAAACACTGCGCGGGTGCGCAGCGGCGCGCACCGGCCGCTGAGCGGGAGCGAGCGACCCGAGGGCCGGGGCTGAGCGCGGCGCGGTTCCGCGGGGGCTGCGCGGGTTCTTCATCTCGGTGAGTGCGCGGAGCGGCTGCGCTCCCGCCCGCGCCGTCGGGGCTCCCGTGGACGGGCGGGCGAGGCGGGACCACCCGGCTGCCCTCGGCACCGGGGAGTTTAACAGCACCGGCGGCCTCAGCCCGGAGAAGGAGCAACCGGCGGCCGGAGAACGCGGAGGTTACGCGGGGCGGGGGGGGGGGGAGCGGAGCGGGAAGCATCCTGCCTTTCCCACGGGGCCGCGGCGGCGAGAGCCCGGCGCTGCACCGCAGGAGTTCGCGGGCAGCCGCGGAGTTACCGACCGACTTTGTTGGGGGAAAGGGGGGGCGGAAAAAAACTCTTTTCTTCCTCCCACGAGGACCTGCGAGAACCCCATTTTCTCCCCTTACTTTGGTTTTTGGTTTGTTGTTGTTTTTTTTTTTGTTGTTGTTGTTTCTTTTTTTTTTTATTTTCTTTTTTTTTTTTCTTTTTTTTTTTTTTAATAAATTTTGGCGATCGCGTTTAGCTTCCCGTAGGATTGACACAAACCTCCTGGCCCGGCGGGGGCGGGGGGGGGAGGGCGCGAGGGGCAAGAAGCTGGTTTTAAACCACCTTCAAAAGCGATACCGCGCATAAACCGCTCCCGCGGGGGCCATCCGCGCAGAGCCGCGCAACCCGCCCCGTCCCGCCCCGGCGCGCAGGGCCGGGACCGCGGCGCCATCTCTTGGCAAAAGCTCTCCATCGGCGGGGGAACCGCTCCGCCAGCAATTAACACCTTAAATTGCAGTAATGGCAAGGTACTTATGCCTAATTCATTATATTTTAAATAATTAAAAGGAGGGTGGGGAGCAAGAGGGATATCGCCACAAATAAATATTTGTGCCGTGCTTTATCTGCGCGACCCGTCGCGTTCCCTCCGCAACCCGGCCATCCCAAATGTCCCACCGGTGACACCGGGGTTTGGGTGGCTGTGAGGGAACTGCCACCTGTAAAGAGAAATGCTTCACCCTCATCTTAAGCTTCTCTTGTTTAGATTTTTTTGGTTCAGTAGGAAGAAAAAGGAGATGAACCTATTAAAAGAATGTGGTTTTATATATTTCACCCACCTCCCCCCCCCCCCCTTACTGTTCTAAAAAATATTTGGTTTACATTTCATCCTGGAATAAATGTTGTTTATTGGAAACTTCTTTGTCTCCTGTTTCTAACTCCGCAAATGTAAACCAGTACATCAACTCTGTAAAACATGATTAATTCCATAGACAATACCAGCGGTGGGACTTCTCCCTCCCCCTCTGCCAATGTAGCTGCTAATTGTACTTGAATTGTTTACTGCTGTATTGTTTTACAAGTGCCTGGAGAAAGATGCCTGATATTCCCACCACCACCAGAACCATCCCAAGAGCAAATGCTTGGCAGATTTTGGCAAGGGTGTACACAAGCTACAAGTACAGCTTGTTAGCTAAAAAAAAAAAAAAAAAAATAAAATAAAATTATGAAGGTGATGACGCCTCTGTAATTATAGGTGTTACTTGTTTTAAAGTCAGAATGTTTTCCAAGCTACTGTAATGCCACACCTCCGATGTCCCAGGAGCCAGGCCTTGGAGTCCTTTCCCCTTTAGTCACTGGTTTATGAGGCTTTGCAGAGCACATCACCAGCTGCACAGCTGGTTCCTGGGCCACACTGCGCTCCTGCGTAGGTGCAAAACCCACGTGGATACTCAGCTATTATTCTACCTTTTACATCGGGCACAAAAAGTTGAGATATATACTACGTACTGCCCCAAAAAGTTGGTGGATGTATTAAAGAGAAACATACGTTGGCTTCACAGCCTTTTTTAATGATTTTTCTGACTTTGTTTCAAATAAGCCCGATGTTCTCAGGAGGCAAACCTGTGGGTACCCTCGTACTGCAGCTCGTTCTGGGGAAGCCAGTGGTTGCTGCCCTCCACATCCCCGCCTTTTCTGCGTAGAGTTGGAGCAGTCTGGCAGTAGAAACCCTTCAGAAAGGCAGGAGATGCAGCTCTGCCCATCATATGGTACGCGTACAAGGCGAAAAATGCCAGCCATTTCCTTCGCCCAGAGAACTTCAAGGGTGGGAAGGGTTGACTTGGTAACGAGGGGCAATTTTAAAAGGCATAAACATGCAGCTTAAAGGCTGAGCCCAATGCTATTGGCAACGCTTGCACCAGCTTTAGTGGAAGAATGATCCATTCTCCAACTGGGGAAATCCCACAAAAGATAAAAGTAAGGTGACACAGCAAAGGTCTCAAGTTGGTTTGCCTGCCAGAAGGAAATGTCTAAGACAGTTCTTCCAAATGAGGACTGTAACTATACCTAAATATTTTTGAAACTATATCAGCCGTATGAAAAAAAGGTTGGGGTTTTTTTTCAGCATCCCAAACTCCGATGCCTGCTTTGACAACCTGTTCATACCCCTGGACTGCTTTTGTTATTAGACTTTCTGGATTTCCCTGGTCACAGTGGAAGCCGTGTCCTGGACTGTGCCAAGAGGTCGAGCCGGAGCAGAACCGGGGCTCTGTGTGCCACAGGCACGCCATGCCCGCCCGCTAGCCACACCGTGCCCGCCTGGTAGCCACGCCGGCAGCTGCAGAGGAGGCAGTGAGCAGCACAGCCTGCTTACTGCTGCTCACGAGGAAGACAAATTGCTGTTCTGCCCCGTGGCAGCATCATCCCGGAGGAGCGGGCCGGCTTCGTGCACAGGGCAGCAGGAGTCGGGCACCAAATAAACTGCATTTTGCTCTGTCGGGAGCTCCCCTGCAGTCGGAGTTGCTTTGGATTTGCATTGGTAGCGCAGAGACATGAGTTTGGGATTCACGCCAGGCTCCTCCAGGTTTCTCAGCAGATGGGAAAGCCTCCCCATGTCCGTACCCATGCTAATCCTCTGTACTTCTCGAGGTGCCCCTCCAACCGCTGCTGAATCTGAAGCCACCCAGAGATAACTTTTCTACAGCACATTTCCATTTGTCCTGAGCTGCCCGAGTATACATATTTCCTTTTCCTGTGGGGGCAATGAATAGCCATCGTATTTGCATTGGACTATTAATCTGCCTGAACTTGGTAGAGATTTTTAAATGAATATTCATGGAAATTAATGTCACTTAATTCCTTTTGCTTCCTGAATATAATTACATGCTGTACGTGAATTGGCAAACACCGCAAGCCATCCAATCTTGTTGAGAGTCTATGACCGATTAAACACCACAGGCTGGACACTCGTGCAGTACTGAAGATGCACAAAGCACTACCAAGATGCAGCCTGACCTCAGGAGAGGAGAAGGGCTGGAGAGGAAACCACTAACAGGGGGAAGATGTACACTGCAGGAAGCAAACAATGCCTTCAGGGATGGAAAATGTGATTAAAAAGGTATTTTAATACAAGCTCTTCCCCAGGTATTAGTCTAGATAGGGACGACACTAAGCATTTGTATTCTCTTGCAAAACAGCTTTATTTTTTCGGTTTCTCACCTATAGGAAAACACCTTTCAGGGCCTCCTATTCCTGGCC